TCAATCTCCACACTTCTCCCTTTGTCCTAGACTAAGTAAAGTTGACTTGCAAAAATCAATGGCGCACCATGTAGACGTTGAGCCCAAGAGAGGTTATTTGGCCCACACAAAGGCCCATCATGAGTACCATGTCCATGTGTATGACCATAACATGTGTCATGTGTCAATTTGACATTGGCCTAAACGACAAAAAGCCCTATTGCTAATGGAATCATACAATTTGACACATGGTAACTTTTAAACTTGAAAAATTTGGAGGTCGGTCCCCCTATATGGATTTGTTTGAACTTAAGTCCATCAAAGAAACTTATTTATTATGAAGTCCGTTTTTTGTCAATTTTATCATACTATCTCTTTCATTTATAAGTGAAATAAAACTAAAAATTAAAAACTCCTAAATCTTAGGAGTTTGACTAATATTAAAATATTTTCTCTCTCATATCTATCTATCTATATATATATATATATAGATTAAAAGTTTGATTAACATTAAAATTTTTCCTCTTATATATATACAAAAAAAAGTTATCATTTGAACACAAAAAATAATACATTTAAATACAAAAAAATAGTAACATTTAAACATAAAAAAATTAAAACATTCAATATTAATATTTTTAAAAAATAATAACAGTAACATGTTCAACAAAAATAATAACATGCTTAACAAAAACTGTAACATACTTAACAATAATTATTTCTCTCAAATTCAAATGCAAAAAATAGTATCATTCAAGTACAAAAAATAGTAATATTCAAAAAAAAATAGTAACATTAAATATTAATATTTAAGAAAATAATAGTAGTAACATACTCAACAAAAACAGTAACATTCTCAAAAATAATAGTAACATAAACAGTAATATACTCAATAAAAACAGTAATATGAACAGTAACATAATAAAAAAAAATAGTAACATGGATTTGAATTTTACTATTCAAATTCACAGTAACTTTTTTTAATATATATAGATAAGAGATAAAAAAAAATATTAATGTTAGTTAAACTCTTAACCAATATATGGATATAGATAGATATGAGAGAGAAAAGATTAACTTTCTCTCAAGAAAGGGTATTTTTGAAATCAAAAAAAAAAAAAGTGGACTTAAGTCATTACATATAATTTTAAACATGAACTTAGCCCCTTATAAGTTTATTTACATGACCTACCTATCTCCAAACAAGTATATATATGGGGACTTACTTCCAATTTTCACTTTAAACTTACGTGAAACTTCCAATTACTACAGTTTTTTTTTTTTTGGGGGGGAAATTTCAATCAGACCACTTTCATATCTTCAAAAACATCATTTTTATTTTTTAAATATTTACTAACTCCCCTTATTAAATTAAAAGTGCTAACTATAATGTAATTTTATTAAATTGCCCATGATATATTTTAAGAAAAACTTCATTCATACCCTCTCTAAATAGACATATTTTCAATGAAATCTCCCTCTATTTTAAAATTTTTTTAATGTATTAAAATTTGGGTAGATTAAAATTATATTCGAATTAATTAAATTTTATTTTTTATGTATTAAAATTCGAGTCAATTAAAAATTACATTTTTTTACGTATTAAAATTTGATTAAAATTCTATTCCAGCTAATTAAAATTCATTTTGAATTTTAATCAGCTCGAATCAAATTTTATTCAACTCAAATTAAATTTTAATTGATCCGAATTTTGATACATAAAAAAATTTAGATTTTAATCAACTTAAATTTTAATACGTAAAAAATTGAATTTTAATCAACTTAAATCGAATTTTAATTGACAAAAAAAATTTTAAAAAAAATTAAATTTTTATCGACTCGAAACAAATTTTAATCAGCGCTAACAACTCAAGTAGGGTTCAAATCAACTCGAATTTTAATAAGTAAAAAAAGAATTTTAATAGGTTTGAATTTTAGTACGTAATAAAAATAAAATTTAATCAGCTCAAATTGAATTTTAATTAGCTTGAATTTTAATATGTAGAAAAATGAATTTTAATCAGTTCAAATTTTAATCAAAATTTATGTGAAAAGATTATTTGAGATTTATGTAAGAGTTATTTTGGTATTTTGGATGATTTGGTTTTGTTATAAATTGTAGTTTCACCGCATGAGTATTAGTAATATTTAAATATAAATTAGAAGTGATGTCATTGATATTTTGACAAAAAGAGGGAGTGTTTTTAAAGATATAATAAACTAAAAAGTAATGTGATTAAAATTTTCCTTTTTTTTTTTTTTTTGGTAAGTAATTTCTACGTGTTACTTATATTATAATTCTGAAATAAAATCACTAGGCAACTATATCATCAACCAAATCGAATTTCAACTCTCCTTTTTCTTATATTTCTCACTAAAACTTCAACCTACCCCAATCGCCTCAATCTCTCTATCTCATTTCCTAGCTTTATTTTTATTTTTATTTTTTTATTCAAAGGTCAAGAATGTCTGAATTATCTTATGAGTATCTAAACTAATTTTTTTCCCAGTTTGGTCAAAGAGAAGTCATCCACGTTAAGATCATAATAGGTATTCATGAGAAATAAATCTCTCATTATCTGGTCACAAGAGATTATCACGGTTCAAATTCAAGACGTTTTAGTTTATAACTCCTCTCTGTTACCACTTAAGCAATCTTTGGTTCTAAGCCTTCTTTGATAAACCTCTAGGCTTCCAACAATCTCTCTCTAAAATAAGTAATACTACACAATTTAAATGAAATTCAAAAAAATACAATTCAAATGAATATTTTAGATTAGTAGGTCTCATCAACTTTTTTAGTGAGACTCATTGATTCTCCAACTCACTTTTTTTCCTCAAAAAAATATACCTTTCTTTCGAAGAAGTAATGTTAATGTTCCAATGGGAGAATGACTTATCGGTGAAAAGTAATGTTATATGAACTTAAAAATTAAACTTAATAATCTTAACTATTGAATTAATAATAAATCTCAATAAATATTGGGACTTACACTATAATCAATAATTATAATTTTTAAATATACTTTTTAAGTTTACATAGCATTCCCGGTGAATAAAATCGATATAAACATTTATGATGGCATGTGAAATACACCCACTATTAGATTTGACCGAAACTATTAATTAATTTTGAACTTTGTTTACGAGGTTGGGGAATTAATATAATATTTTAAAATTGAGGGAGATTATTTTCTTTTGCCATAATTCAAGGGACAGTCCATCGATAAATAACAAGACACCACCAATTTATTTTTGGATCATATTAATTCATATAATCTATATATAAAAAATTTAAGTTTAAAATTCATATTAATAAATTATGTCATTTACGCGTTTAATCTTAACTCATTAATTTCGTATTAATTTTAAATCATATTTATTTATGTGTAGTGTCAAAAAATTTCGCATCTAACGTCATACGGCAAAGTATATTATCCATTTGAAAACGATTTTGGTTGGCCCTAAGAAGTAATTCAATAGAGATAAAAATAACTGTGAATTTTTCAAGTAGAAATGTTGTAGTTTGTCTCTGATCAAAATTTAGAAATCTTAAATTTAAAATTTAGTGTTAATCTCGTTTTGTACATTAAAAGATATTTTGACTCTTAATTTATACCTTTAAATATTAACAATTTTAATTTACACCCTCTATTTTATAAATTTATAATAATGTGGATCTTACTCAAACTCCCCTTCTAATTTTTCATCATAAACTGAAATACATGAATTGTAAGAAACAATATTATGTAATTCAAATCTGTAGGGGTCATTGGATCTCATTTATAAAAAATTGGGTTACATAGATTCGAACATGAGTTTACATGTAGAATCACAAACTGTTGACGTTTTCACATAGGTTTCACATGATAGGAGTTACCCCTATTTGATTAATAAAATTCTATTTTTAATACACAAAACAATTACAAATTGGTCAGAGACGAATATCTGCAATAATAGATATATTTTATCCTCATATTCGAAACACTTGTATTTAGGAGTGTTAAACGTGTCAGGTTAAACGGTTACGTGTCGAGTTAAACAGGTGGCAGATGAAAAATATATAAATTCGTACACGACACGTTTAATAAACGGATAAAAAATCTCAATACAAACACGATCCGTTTAATAAATGGATAACACGACACGACTCATTTAACCGGTTTAATTTTTTAAAAAATTATTTTAACAAATTTTAATACTCAATTTTTTTTACTGTCAACTGTATTTACCTAAAAAAAGAAGAATTTTTAATCAAATCTAACATAAACAATTAGGTTGACTCTGTCTTTTATAAGCAAGACAACCCTCCCCATCNGCCTTTTATAAGCAAGACAACCCTCTCCATCTCCCCCTCATTTGCCAATGTGAGACAAAAACAAAATGGATTGGTTTGTCTTTGTCGTGAACTGCTCCTCATCTCCCCTCCTTTGTTGAACTACTACTTTATTTTTATTTTTTTTGTATTAATTTCTTTACCTTTTTTTATGGCTAAATTTTAAAATAATTATTAATTTATTATTATATTAATTTTATTTAAACGGGTAAATGTGTGATAAAACAGTTTGACAAGTCTCATTCGAATATAACCCGTTTATTAAACATGTCTGGCGGGTTAACCTGTTTACCATTCAAATCCGTTAAGATCTTATCTAAATTCGATTAATTCTTATTGATTCGTATTGATTAATCATGTCTTGTAGAATTTTGACAAGCCTATTTGTACCTCACATGTTTTAATTTATGATAAAGAATTAAAAAACATGTTAAGTCAAATCCACATGACTATCGGTTCAAATAATTAAAGATATAAAATAAGATTTTTAATGATCGAAGGTATATTAAGAATCAAAGAATCTTACAAAATACAAAATAAAAATAATCCTAAAATTTAATAATTTTCTTAAGTCCAAGTCACGGGAAATTAACGGAGTTACGAGTAAACAAATCGACTACGGCTATTTACTTTCTATATCAGCGACACAAGAGAAAAAGTAAAAGAAAGTGGAAGGGGAAAAATCGTAGACTAGCAATCCCAGAGTCTTAAGGAGCTGACGTTAACCCTCCGGTCACAATGCACGGCCACCTTCCCTTCCTTTTCCTCCCACTCTCATTACCCAATCTGTCTCTCTCCTCAGATTCCGATGCTTCCTTCCCAATCACATCACTTCTTCCTACTCCCCCAATTCACCTCCGGCGTACCTTAGTCCAACCACCCTTCAAATCCCCAAAAATCGCCACAATTACCGGAATCTTTCATGGAACACCAGGGTGCGCACAACACCTCCCGACCCCACGCTGGCGGCCGAGAAGACTGCTGGAGCGAAGGCGCCACCGAAACGCTGATCGAAGCCTGGGGCAACCGTTATCTCAGACTCAACCGGGGTAACCTCCGTCAGAAAGACTGGAAAGAAGTCGCCGACGCCGTTAACGGCCGTCAGAACGGCATCAAGCCCCCTCGCACCGACATCCAGTGCAAAAACCGCATCGACACCTTGAAGAAGAAGTACAAAACCGAGAAATCCAAACCCTCGCCGTCGAAATGGCCGTTCTATTCGCGTCTCGGTTACCTTATCGGACCAAACTCCGGTACACCGTCGAGCAAAAAATCCGCCACCACCGTTACTCTCACCGTAAAATCAAAACATAAACAAAACCGTAACCCTAATTTTAACGCCGTTAATTTTTCCGGTGGTTCATCAAGGTTGAATTCGAGTGGTTCTAATGAGAGTTCTCTTGGTAATGGTGGAAGACACGAAGAAGACGATGATGATGGGGTATTCGGTGTGAGGAAGTATAACAGAATGGACAGTGTGGATTTATCGGAGGAATCGGCGTTTAAGGAATTGGCGAGGGCGATTTTGAGGTTCGGGGAGATATATGAGAGGATCGAGAGTTTGAAACAGCAACAGATGATGGAATTGGAGAAGCAGAGGATGGAGTTCACTAAGGAGCTTGAGTGCCAAAGGATGAATATGTTCATGGAAGCTCAACTCGAGCTCGAGAAAATGAAACGGTCAGCAAAGCAAACGCCCGGTTCAGGTAGAATTATCAAGACTCAAAAATTTTATTGCCTTATTTATTGTGGGAATTGACTACAAGAATGAAGTGGTTGCAAGTTTTGAATTTGCTGGCATATTATGTTAAATAAAAGGGCGTCTGGTTAGATGTACTTTGCCTTACTTGCAACCTGATGTGTTTCCACGATTTAAACCTATGACCTCCATGTCACAATAGAGCAACCTTACCAATTGCGTCAAGGTTCGATCGAGATGATAATTAGATTGGACACTTAATAAGGTGGATGAACTAATGATGGTTGAATAGGTTGGGTTTGAGTTGCATGAGGTTTTCAAAAAAGAAAATATTGTTTGGAAATTTTGGAATGTGTTTTCATGTAAAACATTTTTGCCATTTTTGCCATTGCTAGAGTGATGTTAAGTGATAGGTTCGATTTGTTTGTATATAACTTGCTGCCAATTCGATTGCAGTGTGATGTTGAGTGATAGGTTTGAATTTTTTGACTATAACTTGCTGCTGCTAATTCGATGCCATTTCCAATCTGTGGATTGTTAATGAATTTGTGGTGAGCTATTGTGCTTCTTCCTGTTTTGATGATCTATGATAAGGTAAATATGTGGATTATGATTGTTGCTTTTTGGACTTTCAAAATTTGTCATGGGAAATAGATACTGAAAAAAATATAGGGAAATCGGTGGGAACCTGCGGCAGGGGTTTCTGTTTGTCAGTTTTACTGTATTGTGAAAGAATTGCAGTTCTTGGAATTGTTCCTAGAATGGGGGAACCTCTTCATATTATCCTAGTTGCTCTGATATAATCATGGTTGCTTCTGGACCATTTTCCATGTCTTCAGAAAGTTGGGGCTCAGTTTAGATCAAAGTATGTTTGCTTGTAGATTATGCAGAGTAAAAAAAACATCATTTTCTTATCCCAGTTAGAACTGCTGTACCAAGAAGACCTTGCCTTGAGCTTCCCAATCGAGGGAGGGGTTGGGTTGCGCTCTGGCCAAGTTGGTCAATGTTATTGTTTTTTTTTTTTGGTCAAAATGTCATCGTTTAGGTGTGGACTTTCTGATCCAAGGTGCCCAAAGTTAATAGGAATTGCCTAAGATCAGCATGTTCCTGAAGTAACTGGAGAATTTCCTGATCCACTTTTTCAGTTGCACTCACAATCTCTCTGTCTCTCTTTGCACTCGCATTTCAAGTTGGTAGATCTTTTGCTATGTTTCAAACGTTTTCTGAACCTTGTTATAAAACTCTGTTCTTCAGTTTTGGAGATGTTTCTGTTTAAAGAGTTCTGGAAAGATTTCCTCTTATTACCACTTGTGTCCATTTGTCTGGAATACTCCACAAATTGTAACTGCCTATAAAATTCTTGTAAATAAATTTGCTTGAAAATTATTAAAAAAAAAACATCTTTTTTGTATTCCAGCAGTACCAGCTTTACCAAACCAAACTGCTTTAACAAGTGGATCCTGTGTTTGAGCCTCCTAATCAAGTGAGGGGAGGGCTGGGCTCTGGCCAAGTTGGTCAATGTCATGGTTTAAGCTTGGGCTTTCTGACCCAAGGTACCAAAATACTCTGAAGTCAATAGGAAATAGGAATTGCCTAAGAGCAGCATGTTCATGAAGTAACCAAAGATATGCTCTTCCTGTTCCAGAAGTTCTCTCTCTCTCTGTGGCTTTGCACTCACATTTTCAGTTGGTAGATATTTTGTTCTGCTTCAAATGTTATTTGAACCTTGTCATAAAACTCTGTTCTTCAGTTTGCCGATGTTTCTGTTTAAAGAATTCTGGAAGTCTTCCTGTTGTGTCCATTTGTCTGGAATGCTGTACAAATTGTAACTGTGTAAAGTTCTCGTAAATTAGTAAACATTGTTCTAATGCTCTCTCTCTCTCTCTCTCTATGGCTCTCTGTCCTGTCATAATGATGGCTAAACAATCTACTTTCTTTTTTCATTTTTTTTTTTTAAATTTTCCTGCTGCTTATTTTATTTGTGTACATATGCTGGTGAATTTCCATGCTTNTAAAAAATTTTCCTGCTGCTTATTTTATTTGTGTACATATGCTGGTGAATTTCCATGCTTGTAGTCATATGATGCTTATGCTGCTTAACATCAACTCTTATGACCTTTTTGTTGTCTTCACACAGGGAAGAAGTTAAGCTGAGATGGCATGAACACTCTCCTCGACAAGCAAAGGGTCGTATATGAAGCACGTCAGATAAAAACATCCTTGGTGTTAAGTGAGCTGCAGATTCAATATTCCAAGAAAGCGCAAATTGTAATGTGTTTAAGTGCATGTTTTTTATTTTCATTTGTATATTATTAGGTATTCCACAACAGATTTCTATTGCTATTACATTTTCTAATTGTAATTTCTTGCCCCCTTTCCACCTTTGGTCAATGAATTCATGATGTTTCTCATATGTAGCTAAGACCTATGATGTATTGTTTTTTTTACTTTTATTTTTTCTTTATTCTCGGGTTGGACGACTTCTCCATCTCCACCTTAACATGTATTCTATTTATGAATAAAACAGACTGTTTCCTCTAAAACAAAAGACCACCAGCAAGTCTAACTGATCATTATTTCTCTGTTTTTTTTTTCTCATACTTAGCTTCATCCTATGTTTTGACCTTTTGTTGCGACTATTTCTTTATCTGAAAATCGTCAAATTGAACGAGAAGTATCCCCATTTTGCACTATAATCTTTCACTGAATTTTGATGCTTTAGAGAAAATCCTTGTGTTATGATTGGGAATATTATTGTATAGCATTGAAAGTCTTTAGAAGAACCGTGTGTTAATTAGTTTGAGTAGATGTGATATCTCTAGACTCGTGATAATTGAGAAACAATGAGTTGAATTTCAGATAGATAAAACCAAGTTTGTAAAAAGACGACCTTTACGAGACAATACTCGTTCAATAAGGATAACTTTAAGAGTTTAAAGACTTAATGCATAGAATAAATGCATTCCAGTTGCCGGCAGTATTTTTTTATTTTTAATTTTGTATTTAATTTTACATTCCATTAGATTGTTTATTATGCTTTTGGTGCAGAACATTTGTAGATTCCCTAATTCTACCCCCAGATTATTAGAAACAAGGGAAAAGGATAGGACCCACTTTGTCCCATCCCAAAGAATTCTGGTAAATGAATCGATCCGAACCGGCAGATCAAAAAAAGGAGCTGTACTGAGGTGATCGTCCATGAATGTAGCAGGCTTGGCAGTATAGTGAGCAAGACCAGCTCTAGCAACGAGCAGATCATGTTGTAGCTCAATAATCTTCGTTTGTAGCGAAGCAATGGCGCACCAATGCACCGGGTACCTAGGCCTCACCTCAGCTCCATAGACCATCGAATTCACTGCGACCTGTTCCACTGGCACATCGTTGAGGATTTTCCTAACATTACTAGGTCCAAACACCTTGTGAACATTGGCAAGTGTTTTTAAGCTTGTCGGGGGCGAAAATATGGTGTGAATAGACAGTTTGGAGAGTGCCTCCTCTTCAAGAACTTGCAAGCTACACGAGAAGAGATTGGACGGAGCTCTCGATCCATTGTGCACGTTCTGCTCATACTAAGATTGACAATATTAATAAAATGGTGATCCCTAAGAACTAGTTGGCCTATTAGCTCAGCTGGTTAGAGCGTCGTGCTAATAACGCGAAGGTCGCANTGTGCACGTTCTGCTCATACTAAGATTGATAATATTAATAAAATGGTGATCCATAAGAGCAAGTTGGCCTATTAGCTCAGCTGGTTAGAGCGTCGTGCTAATAACGCGAAGGTCGCAGGTTCGAGACCTGCATGGGCCAGTGGTTTTTTTGCCCATGACCCCCCACTCAAGGTTTTAAATTACATATAATACCTCTAAATTATACTTTATACCACATTATAATCTTAATTTTACTTTATTCTCAATTATTGATTTGACCACACCGTACCATTAACTATTCCAATCGTGATATTTTGAACAAATCATTAAATTTTGGTTTNGTTTTTTTTGCCCAGGACCCCCCACTCAAGTTTTTAAATTACATATTATACCTCTAAATTATACTTTATACCACATTATAATCTTAATTTTACTTTATTCTCAATTATTGATTTGACCACACCGTACGTACCATTAACTATTCCAATCGTGATATTTTGAACAAATCATTAAATTTTGGTTTTGCACAAATTGATAAACTATGAACTATTTTGTATAGTGCAATGTAATCTACTAATAGTTTATATTTTGCACAAATCAGTGTCGTTATTTAAGAGTAAAAATATATAATTTGACGAAGTTTATTGATTTTATTGAAAACGGACATAATAAAATGTATCATATAAAATTAATTTTAATAGATTCTATAAATTTAAAATTTTGACTAANCAACTAATAGTTTATATTTTGCACAAATCAGTGTCGCTATTTAAGAGTAAAAATATATAATTTGACGAAGTTTATTGATTTTATTGAAAACAGACATATTACAATGTATCATATAAAATTAATTTTAATAGATTCTATAAATTTAAAATTTTGACTAATAAAAATTACAAGTTAAAAGCAAATATTTGGTCCTCTTATGACGAAAGCTTGGCTCCACTCCACTCCTGAACAAGAGGATGTGTTCGTGAGTAACTTGAGACATGATAGTGTGAAAGGCTAAAAGGATCAGCTAAGAATATATTTTACCCAGTGCAGCAAACACGAAGAAGTATTTTTTTGTAATTTAACTTTTATAAAGCACAATGGAGAAACAAAATTCATATAACCAACTAGAAATAGATGAAATTAAATTTTTATTATTTGGTCTTAGAAGAAAAGTGGAAAGAAATAAATAAAAATAATAATTAATTTACCATTATACCTTTACATATAAAAAAATATATTTTTTTATTATAAATAACTTTTTCAAGATTTGAAAATGTTCAATGTTGCTTTAATTAGTTATAAAAAATATAAATACGTATATAAAAAAATAATAGCCAAAAAACACACATATGAAAAATATATGTTATTAAATATTAGAAGTGTTTCTTGATAAATGTGCATTTTTTGAATTGAAATTATGACATAATGTTTAAAACATATATTAAAGGGCAAAAAAATCAATTTGTCCAAAAATTAGCTTGTCTTTAATTTTCCTCCCACTTTTGGGATGGAAAAAAATTATGGGCTGAAGGGAAACACTTTTCCAGTTTTCCTCTAATTTTTATCTGTAACCAAATAATGGAAAGCCTTTTTTTTTTTTTGCCATCCCATTTTCCTTCCTCAACTTTCCATTAAACTAAACGCAATATAATAAATAGAAAAAAAAATTAAAAATCAAATATTTCCTTCATATAATATTAGTTAAACGACTTTATCATGCCAAAATCAGATTATTTGTACACACAAACCTAATCATTTCTTTGACATTTGTATATTGAGCTTGTTTGGAGGGAGCTGAAAATCTCAAAAAAAAAAAAAAAAAATTGCTTCAAAGAAAAATAAACTAGGTCCGTTTGTACCCAAACTTATTGAGCGACTTTTTCATCAACTTTTTGAACAGAAACAACTTTTATCAGCATTAAATAAAAACTAAAAAATAGAGTTTATATCATTGCTTCTAAGAAAAATCGTCTTTTTTTAAAAAAACTTTTAAATTTTTTTTTGACTCTGACTTTGTTATTACACTTTTCAAATTTTTATTTCACACCTAAAAAAAATTAACTCCAAACGGAACCATTGTCCAAAGTTGTCCTCTAACCTCTTCTTAGGAGGCTCAGATGACTATTTTCTCACATGCGACAGAAATGCCTACTCATCTGTCTGATGCACCACACGTAACTGTCTCTAACCACTCTTGTCTCACCAAGAACATACTTGTCTTATCCGCAGACATATTTGTCTTCTTCCTTTTTTTTTTGTCTTATCTTCTGATCAACTGGATCTCAAAAACAGGTCCATTCGGCGCCAACAGTCCAACCAAAAACTTCCAAATCTGCATATACCCAAGTCAAATGAGGTTCCAATACAACAAAAAAAAAATGTGTTATAATGATGCTCAAGAGCACCACCATTGCACTCTAATGTACAAATGATCCATTCATATTCCCGTCTTTTCCAGTGGCCTTGGTGTATGGATTTATTATCAAACATTTGGAAATAACATGAAGAAGTCAAATTTACAAATGACGCATGATAGGCGAAAAATGTTTTTTTCAATATTTCACGACAAGGAAAAGAAGGGGATGGCTCAGTGTTATTGTACTGTAAAAAACATATCGCTATCCACAAAATTATCAGACAAGAGTAGTGGAACTTCTACTCCACATGCACCTTCTACTACTAAAATTTATTGGGATCTTGGCACAACTATGCAGAAGGGAGAAAATAAACAAATTTCAGCATGATAAAGATGAATGTTGTAGCCTAGTTTATTTACCCAGCTAATTCTTTTGCTTTGTTACTCATTTACTCCATATCAAGCCTACAATAAGTTTTCAGATCAGATGGATCAAAATCAGATGATGATAATACAAGAAAACTTGTCAAGATCCTGCACCATTTGACATGTCACAAGGGTCCAATGAACGTGTTTAAAATTTCATATTTAAGATAAGAACACCTAGTCTTAAAAGTAATACCACCAATGCAAGCTTTGAAATAGCTCACTGAGGATATATATATTGAATTGCATAAAAAATTGGCCAGGAATATGACCTGCAAGGCCTTGTACGTCCTCCAAGTGGCAGCAAACCTAGACTCCTTTTTCCTCTCCTACCAGCCATCTTATTGTCACCTATGATAAGAATACAAACAGAAAGAGTCAATTTTTTAGTGTATTATTCTATTATTTTCTCAAACTGAAGATGTTTTTCCAAGTGATTTAAACCCCAACAAACCCTTGATCATGAAAAGAGTAATGAACAAAAACATACTCAGCACAGTGCAAAACCATGGGTGGAATTCTACCTCCTGTCATGGTCTCCTCTGGCTTTCTTCCAACAGGTTCTTTGCTAGAATCATTGATCTACGTCTCGAAAGAAGTCACATCCATGGAAAAGCTTCCATTTGTGCAGTTCAAAAATGTTTCGATGATGATAAGAAGAGTCAAGCTAATTACTTCATTGTTTGAAGAGATTCAAGATACAAATCACACACTTCCACCATCATCAATCTTGTGTCTCACTGAGCTATTTTCAGTGATCCGAAGAGTGAAGCATTTGATACAAAAGTGCAAGGAAGGTAGTTCTCTGTGGAACCTTGTGCAGACAGAGCTTGTTTCAAATCAGTTCCATTCAACAGTAAAAGATATGGGGAGGGCACTCGATATTTTACCTCTGAGATTGCTTCATGTAAAAGCAGACACTAGAGAGAAAGTTGAATTTCTTCACAAGCAGACAAAAAGGGCTGATTTATCTGTTGACCCTGGAGAACTTCAAACAATGGAGGAGCTGCTCCAAGTGATGGCTACTAACAATGAGAAGAACAACAAATTCATTGACTTTCGGAAAGTGAGAGAGATTTTAAGCAACATTGGTTTAAATAGCCCATTTGATTATTATGAAGAGATCTCAAAACTAGAGGCAGAAGCTGAAAGGCAGGCAGGCACAGGGGGGCCTATCGTGGTTTGCAACATCAACAATCTCATTTCCCTGATTTCGTTATCCAAATCTCTGATTTTCAGGGAAGAAGAAACTACAAAAACCCAGTACCTGAAGCAGTGTAGTGCTTCAGTTAGGCATCATGATCACACCTCATCTTCTCAATCAATGATTTTCAACATTCCTGATGAATTCCGTTGCTCAATTTCACTCGACTTAATGAGGGACCCTGTGATAGTAACATCAGGGCACACTTATGATCGAAATTCAATCGCCCAGTGGATTAACTCAGGGCATCGCACATGCCCCAAAAGCGGGCAGAGGCTAATACAAATGGCCCTTATACCCAACTATGCACTGAAGTGTCTAATTCATCAATGGTGCCAGGAGAACAATGTACCAATAATGGAATCTACATCATCTTATCCAGCATTGAGGAGGAGCAGTAGTGAGAGAAAACCATGTCAGAATGATTTGGATCACATTTCTGCCACAAAAGCTGCTGCGGATGCTGTCAAAATGACAGCAGAATATTTCGTAGGGAAATTAGCAACAGGATCACCACATACACAGAGGCAGGCAGCATATGAGCTTCGGTTATTAGCAAAAACTGGCATGGACAATCGCAGGATAATTGCTGAGGCAGGAGCTATTCCATTTTTGGTCACTCTGCTAGGTTCCCATGACCTGAAAATTCAGGAAAATGCAGTCACTGCCTTACTCAACCTCTCTATACTAGACAACAACAAGAAATTAATAATGGCTGCAGGTTCCATTGACGGCATAATAGATGTTGTACAATCAGGAAAAACAATGGAAGCACGAGAAAATGCAGCAGCAGCAATCTTCAGCTTGTCTATGATGGATGATTACAAGGTGATCATAGGTGCCCGTCCCAGAGCCATTCCGGCCTTGGTTACGCTCCTAGAAAAAGGAACTACAGGGGGGAAAAGGGATGCTGCAACAGCACTTCTCAACCTTGCGGTTTACAATGCCAACAAGGCATTTGTTGTGCTTGCTGGGGCAGTTCCTGTACTCATTGATCTGCTGATGGATAACAATGCGGGTATCACTGATGATGCCTTAACGGTCCTCTCCTTGCTGTCACGGTGCGCTGAAGGATTCGAGGAAATACGCAAGAGTAGAGCCTTGCTTCCTCTTCTTATTGATCTTTTGAGATTTGGATCTCCCAGGGGGAAGCATAATTCAATTACTCTGTTGTTGGGGCTCTGCAAAGATGGCGGCGAGGAGGTTGCAAGAAGACTACTAATAAATCCACAAACCATTCCATCTCTCCAAAGATTGGTTGCTGACGGGTCTTCCAAAGCTCAAAGAAAAGCAGATGCTCTGCTTAGAGTATTCAATCAATGCTGTTCTCAGTCTTGCATTCCCGCTGTATAACAAAGCGGAAGTGTAAATTTGTGGAAATTACATGCATGAAATTGGTCTTCTTTTGTTACAGTAATCAGACCTTAATGCCCTTCATCATCTAACAGGAGACATGGAATTTTTAATCACTTAAAAGCATCTCCTTTCTAATTGACAGTATTGTACCAATTACTCATGAAAATATATAGACATAGATATAACCTCACCTAATTAGCTCTGTATTTGGACCTTTATACCAATCTGTGTCAGAGACGCAACTCCCTGGTTGCTAATGTTATGTATATTGTCCTAATTGGTCAGAATCTGAAGCCAGATTTGGAGAACGGTAATTAAGAAAAGACAAGAAGTAATCAGACGAAGAATGATAGAAAAAAAAGAATAAGAAGAATAGCAAGTTGTAAAGAAATCAGCAGATTCATTTACCCGGAAAAAAAAAATCAGCAGATTAGAGTCAATAGGAAGCACTCTTCAAGTTCCACATCAAATACTAGAACATTAAAGAATTACAAACAGTAGAATCTACCACCATGCTTGCTACCATGGAAAGCTGATCCTAGATAATTTCAAAGGCTCTCAAAAGGAATGAAATACTTTACAGAACCGCTTGTGTTTCAATCATCAGATCCAGCACAGATAAAACACTCCACATTTTGGGTAGGAATGAGGTTCTTCAACCCACTCGCACAAGAGATCTTCTAGGGTTCTGAATTTGAAAATTTCCCACCCAGAGCCTTAAACAAGGCAACTCAGTTGGGTTGCAACAAAAACAATGACCAATTCCCTTCCATTAAGTTGATTCAGCTGCCCTCCTGATGAGTTAAAAAGCTATTTTGCTACATGATTGTAACTTCCCCGTTCAATAAAAAACAAACCACCGACACAAGGCGATAATACACAGCACAAGAAAAGGAGATGACTGCCATAGTGAACTGTCTACGGGCTAGGGGACGCCATCTACTTGGGTCAAAATTGGTTGTCTACAGTCTACACACTCGGTGCAACTTTATGTTACAATAACTATGAACTATCCAACAGTGAAAGAGTTTCAACTTTTGTTCAAGCAAGCATTACCAAAGGGAGCTGATAATATGAATGTGACCATGGAATCCATTTGTGAATCACGATTCAAATAATCGAAGATACAGGTGCCTGGTTCGTCTTCTGCAACTACAAAAAATCATAATATTAAGACGTAATTTATTGATCTAATTTGTTGAACTCTATCGAACATTAGAATTTGGTGTTAATCTAATTATTCTAATGAAACCACCTCATTTGGTCAACAAATTATATCAGATTTTTAGGTATAAATAACATTTTTCCGAGATTAGAACCTGTAAATAACATCAACCCTAACTTTGGAACGAATCCTAAACCCTTTCCTAGTCAAAGACTTGCCACCTGATTGAACAGGAATCTACCAGAAAATTCGATAAAACGCAATGCATCATGGGCTATGATTTGTTACAGAAATTCAAATATATTTTCAGCAATTCATGGTCAAAATTCAACTATATCCATGAGAAATTCCTCCAAAATAAAAGACGAATTGACGGAAAAAAAACAAATAAAAACTTATAAGCTTCTCTCGAAGGATGCTGAGAGGATTGCTCCAACTTTACATGCCGTGATCCTTCAACATATCTGGTTTTGTTTTTTTTTTTTGGGACCTAACGTGACAACTTGTGGTCCTTTGATTGATTAATGGCGAGTCTCGAAATGAAGTTTATTTACCAATTTAAGGGCTAATTACACAAAGACCTCTCAACTTAAAGTCAGTTCCACATTATCTCCTTCAATAATTAAATCCCCTATCTACTTGTGAATGAAGTGGAAAACGCAGTGGAATGGGATGGTTGGGAAGGGGGAGTTGAGCAGGGTTGGGTGGGCGAGTTGTGGGTTGGGGTGTGGTGGGGGAAGAGGAGGATGGGATGGCGTGGGGTGTTGAAGCTATGGTGGGGGATGGAGCCGGTGGAGATAGAGAGAGAGAAGAGGCCGGTAGAAATTTATGGGCTTTATTTTGCCCAATGAATTTTCTTTGTTAGTCAATAATTGCACAGTTGGATAAAATTTGCATCAAAGGTAAAATTGATAATTTGACTTTTTATTTTAAAAAAATTAATTATTTCATAGCACAAGTGCTTAATTAGCACGTGCAATAAATCTATCGTAATAACAAATAAATTCTATTAGGTTTTTAGTTTATTCACAAGTTAAAAGGAATTAATTAAAACTAGTAAAACTTGAGGGGTGACATGCAACTTTTGTATAATTAGCCCTTAATTTAATGACATGTCTCAAATTAAAAAAAAAAAATATAATTGTTTATTTACACAACAATAGAATTTGGAATAGTATGGTTTAGTTTTATTATCCATTTGTATCCAATATTTTTGATTTATCATCTCCTTCGTCCTTGAAACTTTTTTATAGTTCGAGTGCAAGCATG